CTGGATAGAGCAGCAAATCCTAGAGGCCAACCCCATTCTGGAAGGTGGGTTATTTAGCAGAAAAAAAAGCCATTTACCACACTTATCACAAGATTTTTGTCTCAGGGTAAAAATTCAGGAACAGATCCTCAAACAACTGTATTTGCATAACATAGCTAAAAACCCTGAAGCATTGGTGATGCAGGGTAGAAGTTCTCTAGTCTTTTTTGCTGGGTCTTCATGAGGTCCAGAGGAGTTCTTATGATGCAGGAGAAGGTGTCACTGTAGCAGTATCTCAGAACTGCAGGGAGCACAAGAGTCATAAGAGATATAGAGCATATTTGGACCACCTGAGTATGTCTTTTAGGGCCCAGCTATCTGGATGCACAGTTATGCCTGCCTGTCACTTCAGAAGGAAGTCAGTTCAGATATTCTTTAGTGCATGTCAGCATTTGGTATACAACATGCAAAATACCAAGAGAAAAATGGAAGCACATCAAAAATAGACTTGATGTTCATTAACTGCAGTAATCAAGATCCTGTCTGTCCTTTTCCCGTCAGCTTTTGGAAATGCCAAGACAATTCGAAACGACAATTCAAGCCGCTTTGGTAAATACATTGATATCCACTTCAACCACAGCGGTGTGATAGAAGGAGCCCGGATAGAACAGTTTCTTTTGGAAAAGTCCCGAGTTTGCCGGCAGGTGAGGGCACTTGCAGACACCCATTCTGCCTGCTCCTGTGCTAGAAACCTGTACCAACGAGCCTATATTGGCCTCTTTCTTTCTTTCTAGGCTCCAGAGGAGAGGAACTATCACATCTTCTATTGCATGCTGATGGGGATGAATCTGGAGCAGAAAAAGATGCTGAATCTGGGCACTGCCTCAGAGTACACTTATCTCACTATGGTAACTATCTCCATTATCCCTCTGTCATTTGTTTCCTCCAGCAACCAGTACCATCACTAGGAGCTGCAGATGGGTGGTACCAAGTACAAGTACCAACAGTCCTTTCCTTAGAGTACCAGAAGCAGTGACACAGGTGCTGTGAGTCTCAGTTTCAGAGGCTTACTGTAATGTCCATCTGTCCACCGCAGGGGCAGCATGTGGCAGTTCAAAGCTTTCTGTCCAACTCAGTCTTAAGAAACATAAAGGGCATCATAAAGCACATGGGAAATATCCTCCACTTTCACAGGTGCTCAGATTTTAGGCGAATGCAAGGGATCTCATGGCAGGGAGAAAGCTAATTAGGTATGTATACCTTAGGTGATAATGAGTAAGCAGAAACAGTGCCAAGAATCCTTGTCCTTATGTCTGAGTTTATGTGATCTGAAGAGAAAGCAGAAAAGATCCTCTTCACCTGTGAATGTGGTTTCTTGCAGGGCAACTGCACATCCTGTGACAGCCGGAATGATGCCAAGGAGTACGCTCACATCCGCTCGGCGATGAAGATCCTCATGTTCTCAGACTCTGAGCACTGGGACATCAGCAAACTGCTGGCTGCTATCCTGCATCTGGGGAATGTGGAGTTCGAAGGTAAACTCAGCATTGCCTCTGCTTGGTCTCTTCTCAGAGTTGATGTTAAAGGCCTACAGGTGCTTCTGCTTCCAGCTGTAAGGATTAGGTTGTGCTTCTCTGCCCAGTATAAATGGTTAGGTGAACAGGGTTGGTGGGGCAGGCAGATAAGCACCATTCCATACTGAGTAATGTTTTGAAAAACACCCATCTTATTATTTTGTCACACTGGGATTTCCTTGGTTATAAATAGACCCTTATCACACAGCCTGAATCACCAGATAATATAATGCCATGCTGCATATACTGACTGTAGTGCTACGTATGTCAGAGGACAGAGTAGCAACTGAGCCATGCTTTCTGTGGAGATGATAGCTGTCATTGTCCTGCTGGGTACTGTGAACACTCAGCTGTGTAAATGCAGTTCTGATAAGGCAAAGACAGTCTGATACACCCATCAGTAGGACAGCAGGAGCTCTCATATTTTAGAAGAGAACTCTTCTCTGTGTGATACAGTGGTGCCAGGTGGGTTTTTTGGGGTAATGCTGGCTGCTAAAATGAAGTATCTCCTATATGAAGGAAGATTGTTATCTAGGCAACCTTTTTTGTCTATGTTTCCCACCAGCTAGATACAAGACAAGAAATGTTTTCAGAAAAAAAAATCTGAAGTCAGATAAAACTCCAGATCCCCAGTAGCTAAAGTTTAAAATTAATAATCCTGTCAGCTTTGCTGCTATTTGTAGATAAAATAAAACAATTAAAACAATGTTCTGGAGTTGTGAGGACCCTGTATGTGCCAGGATCCCTAGGTAAAATTAGAACCTTCCTTAGTAAAATCTTCAAATGCAGGAGCTTCATCAGGCAAATTACTACTTTGCCACATTCCTGGAGATACAAACTTACAGAAATATGGCTGCACAGCTCCCAGCCACAACAGAAATGTTTCACCATGAAAATGATTTCTTATTCCAGCGGCTGTGTATGACAACTTGGACTGCTCTGATGTGATGGATTCACCACACTTCTCAATTGCAACCAAACTGCTTGAGGTAGTAAACTCTTATCTTTTCCTACTTGTTCCTTTCTTCATCCATGCTCCCTGAGCACACTGACAAAGCACGTCTCTGTGGAGCATTTATGTAGTGAAGCACATAGAAGGGGCATTTCCTGTTCTTTCTGCTGATACTCAAGTGCTGCTATTGCAGATATCTTTCTGAGCCAGGAGATCCTTCAGTCTTGGGCAGCAGAATGCTCTCTCGAGTGCTGCTCTACAAGCAGTTTGTCACAGCCCTGCTTCCTGAGGCAGACTTTCTTTGCTGGATCTCTTTTCTCTACCTGAGATGATCAAGTTGCCATGACTGTTCTTCCAGGTGGACTACAGTGAACTTCAGAACAGCCTCACAAACCTCTCCATCATTGTCCGAGGAGAAAGTGTGTCCAGGCCCTTGAATGTGGCCCAAGCTGCAGACGGGAGGGACGCCTTTGTGAAGGTACTGGTTCTTACATCTGCTCTATTTGAAGTCTGGGAATGCTTTCAGAGCTGTCTGTCTTATCAGTTAAAGTGCCTTTTGTGATAAATGTGCATCCAGATGGCCTGGTTCCCTCTTGGTCTTCAGGCACAATTTGACATCTTTGTTTCAACACAACAGGAAGCAGAGAGATTTGTCCAAAGACTGTAATGATGAGCTCTCACTTTAATTTCTCCCCAGGGTATATATGGACGGATTTTCCTCTGGATAGTGAACAAGATCAACTCAGCCATTTTTAACCCAACTTCTCAGAAGCCTAAAAATACAGGTCACTCCATTGGGTTGTTGGACATTTTTGGGTTCGAAAACTTTAGCAACAACAGGTAAGAGGCTCTGGATTCATGTGCACTGGGGTGCTGAAAAGCAGTTGATGTAAATTGAAAAAGTGAAAAAAAAAAACCAAGCAAATTTCCTTTCATTATTATTGTCATGCCCAGAAAAGCAGTGAAATTTCCATCACTAAGTTTCCCCACTGACAAATACCGTTCTTCTTTAGTCTTGGTCACATTTCTGCTTTCTCCTTCAGCTTTCACTGTGGTGCAGCCATTGCACATGTCTATTCCAGAACCCCAGGAATTTGCTCAGGGAAGATGTCTATGAAGCTGCTATGAGCAGGCAGCCACGAAGAGCAGATACATGTTCCCCTTGCTCCATAGCATTTTAACAAGACCTCTTGGGATGCTTCTGTATATAGCATAAAAGAGTCTGTGTTTTGATTCTCATTTCAGCTATGCTTCTGTTTTGCTCAGTGTTCCCCCATCACTCTTTGGGAACTACTTAATTTCTCTGCTTTTAAGGACAGGTCAGCAAAACACCTGGTCTGCATACCACTGTTACCTCTTGTACTGATGATTTCAGTCCCAGAGCACCATTTCTATATGCCCTTCTCTACAGAGACACCAGTTCTTTGTTTTATGGTACCATATCATCAGTACTCCACAAACTATCACACATAGTCTGCAGTCTACAAGCCTTTGGGATCAGAGTAGGGAAACTTTCTCCATCATGGGGCACCATCAACATGTGAGCAGTGTTGAGGCTGGTATGCTACAGTCAGTGAAGCATGTAGTAAACGACTGCGACAAACAGTGTAATTCATGTCACTCCATTTCCCTCCACCTTTGTCAACTCCTCCTTGATAAATCAATAAAATGTTCCACTTTTTTTATTCTTTCTAAATTCTGCATGGCAACCTTTTCCAATCCATTGCAACAGATGCACCTTGCTTGCATTCAGCAAGATAATATTCCTCACTGACTTTTAGAACATAATCTGCTCAGACCATCCTACATTTTTAATGCTCTTTCCTATTACTTTATGCTATCCCCAAAGGCTGCAGTCCACATGGGGCCTCACTGGCACACATTGTGCCACAGCAATTACCAGGTAATGAAACTCACATGCAGTATTAAGGATTAACTGATAAAAGAAGTGGTAATGCCATTGCAAGTAAAAACAGATTATACACTCACCCAGACATACTATTTTCACAGTTGTGTGTTCCCCTTTCTCTCTAGAGTTCCTTGAAACAGTTCATCCCTTGCTTAACCAGCAACACTAAGTCAACAGTTGGCTCTTTTTGCTCATCTTTATTAGAGCAGAAAATGCATCTCTCATGTTCCTAAGACAACACACAGTGGTGGTGATCATTAACATGGACAGTAGTTTATCTGGAAAAGTATTAAATATGGACAATAAACAAATGCCATAGAGCAGTGCAGCACTGGCCAAGGTCCAGGAATGACCATGGGTTCCCATCTCGTCTCCTTACAGCTTTGAGCAGCTCTGCATTAACATTGCAAATGAACACCTTCAGCAGTTCTTTGTGCACCATGTCTTCAAGCTGGAGCAAGAGGAATACCTTGCAGAGCACATTACCTGGAATAACATTGACTTCACTGACAATCGCCAGGCTCTGGAAGTCATTGCACTCAAGCCCATGAATATTATCTCCCTCATTGATGAGGAGAGCAAGTTCCCAAAGGTAACTTTCTGGTTTCATCTGCAATATTTGATTTTGAACACAGCACATCAACAATGCTTTACACACAGAAAAGTGCAGAGGAGGCTTTCAGAGACACTGTGAGAGTCAATACCCCTTTTAATTTGCTATATCAGTACTTTTACTGCCAGAGTGTGCTGTTCCTATTACCTCGCTGCCTTAAAACTCTTCCAGTTGTACCAGATGGAGAAGGAAGGAGATTCGATATTTGAAGAGGCTTTTTAGGAAATGTATGGATTTGCATATTGAGTACTGTTTTGCTGTTGGTCTGGGCTGCACCTTCCTCTTTCTTCTCTTGGATGACAGTCACAGTTGAGCTCTGCAATCGTGAAAAAAATGTCATTCTACAAAGGGCTGGTATCTCCAACAGAAGAACAGAAAAAGTAGCATCTGATCTCAAACATAACTGCTGTATATTTCCATGGTCTGCACATTTCCATGACAAGGGTAAGCAGGGCTGTCAGTACAGGAATCAGATGGCAGCACCAGCTTATCCAGGAAAGCAAGCTTCTGCCTCAGCTCACCTGTAGTCCTCAGGCAGCAATATAAGAGGCTTGTGTACAAACAGAGAGCTTTCTCCTTTCTTTCCTGAGAAGAGGGTGGTCTCAACTGTATGTCCTGTGATCAGGAGAAAAGTCTCTTCCATGATTCCCAGGGTACATGGCTTCTCAGATAGCACAGCACTACCCTACGATGGGCAAGTGAGCAGAGCTGCCCTCACATGCATCCCATGGGGATGAGGATGTGATGGCACCAGCTGGTTGCTGGCCTGTAGAAGTCACAGTCCATGCTGGGTATCTGCTTTGGGCTGCCTTCTGGGGATCTCTGAGTCTTGTACCAGTAGGGCAATGAAAGCAGGCCCTGTGTTCCTACCTGGTTACTTCACAAACAAGGGGCAGAATTTAAGCCTTTGTTATCTTGAAGCACCTTATGTGTTTGTTTGCTGGGCAGTCTTGTATTGTAATAGAGAATCTACTTAACTGTCCTTTTCTGTATTTGTTTCTAGGGCACAGATGCCACCATGCTTATCAAAATCAATTCCCTCCATGGAAAAAGCAGAGTCTATATCCCACCTAAGAGTGACCATGACACCAAGTTTGGCATTAACCACTTTGCTGGGGCTGTCTTTTATGAATCAAAAGGTGAGCTTTTCTTGGCTGGGTGTGGAAGGTGAAGAACATCATTTGTCATGGCTTTATGGCACTCCAGAGTAGTGTTGATCTGTAATTTCTCAAGATAAGAGTTTAAAACATTCAGGTTTATTTTGCTGAAGTCAGGAGGTCAAGAGGATTACTGTAAACTAATCATCAAGTTACTGTAGATGACGTGGATTTTAGCTTGGCAGAGTTGCATTACAGCCAGCAGGCTGCAGAGATGACAAGCTGTTCTTTCTTCTTTTTTTTTCCATCCTATAGATTTCTTAGAGAAAAACAGGGACACACTGAGTGCTAATGTAATGCAAGTGGTTCATTCCTCCAAAAATAAATTCCTGAAAGAGATTTTCCAGGTGGAAACAACCCCAACTAGTCTGGGACGTGGGACTATCCGGCATTTTGGAACTGACCAGGCCTACAAGGTTGGCTTTCTGACACTGTGATGCAGAACCAGTTAACTTCCCTACTAGAATGCTCTGCCTGTCCTTGACCTTCACTTTCTATTGTACTGTTTCTGCACATGCCTTCCCCTTTCATTTCTTCAAAGGATTCTGGAGGAAAAGTTAGGAGAGTCCTGGCCTTTCCCTTCTTGCAGAGTGGCTGGCTAGCACAAAGAGCAAACAGCTGTGCTGTCACAGAAGGCCGCTCCATCTCCCATAGACAGTCTCACAACTTGCACATTGCTGCAGTGTTAGCTCTCCCTCCACTCTCAGAGCCTTTGTGACAAAGTTGCTGGTGGCTAATTGTCAGAGAAACATCAGTGCCTGACGGTGTCAGGAGCCTCAGTGAAGTGCAGTGGTCTGGAAATGCTGTGGGCCAGAGTTCAGGCTCTCTGCCTTGCTGCAGTTCTCACTTATCTTTAATTGTGAGCCTTTAACCATGCAGCATCACTACTGGGTGAAGGTACTTTTGCTCTTAGTTTTTATATCTCTCTGCTTCCTTCTCAGAGTAGAGGGTGAACAGTTAATTTGTTGACTTACCTGTTATCTCCCTGTTCTCCTGGCTTTTTTTTTCTGATCCTGTTCTCTCTTCCTCAGTCTCTAGCCCAATGTGGCTTTCTGCTGTCCAGAACATCTGGCTATGGACAGGTAAAAGATCTGTGGGAGAAAAAAGAAGTAGTACCAGATACAACATAGAGATGGCTTAGCATCTATTAGACATTATGAGTAACTTAAGATTAAATATCAGGCCTATCTATGTTGTCTGATGGGTTTTTCTCTTTAAATAAGGTTGTGTTATTGGGGGGAAAAAAGTTTCCTTAGGAGAACATTTAGAAGTAGAGCAGCATGAAAAGAAAAGAGTTACTAAATATGGATACCATCCACAAAAAGTCACCACCACCCCAGCGACAAGTGCCACCTAACAGTGTCATTTCTAGAGGCAGGCAGTGAGGCTGGGAGGGCCGGGCTTCAGCCTTCTGAGACCATCCCATTGATTTAGTGGTACAGCAGAAAAGCCCCTGGGGTCTGGGAGTGCAAACTGCTTTTGGCACTAATGCAGTTTAAACATCCATATGATGTTATCGTATCTACTTCAAACAGATGTTTGCTAGGGCTAAAAAGCATCACAGCTGCTATTCCCAGGAGCTACTTTGCAAGGCATGAGTGTTTGGTCGCTGGAGGGCAGCATTGGCACACAGCTGAGAGCAGAAGGTGGCAGCTCAGGCGTTGAAAAGGGCACTTTGAATGTAAGAACCAGCAGAATGAGGGACTGTAAAGATCATTAAAGTAACGAGAGCCACTGGGATTTAAATTTATCTGCAGTGGGAAAAACAAACAAACAAGCAGGGAAAAAAACCCTGACAACCTGAGCTAAAACACAACAAAAAGTTGTATTGTGCTGTAATGACTCCAAGCTCATAGGAAGACTGTAGGAAAAAAGCCAGTGGATTCTTTTTGTTACTTGGAGTCTGCACTGCTCTCACTGTAATTTAATACACCCTTAAACACAGAAGGAGCAGTTAAGGCCTGTTGTGATAATGTTTGGAAGAGGACAAAGGTGGAACTGTGCTTGCAGGGAAGCTGGGGAAGTCAGGAGATAATTGCAGCCAAGTGCAATCCTTCTGGGCTTACACTAGTGCAGCTGGGCCAGAATTCAGCTCAGAAGCTGAGACATAAAGCACTGCATCTGCAGGCAAAAATAAAGCAGCTTTTACATTATCCTCCAGTAGAAGTTTGCCTTTCACTACTTACTGTAGTGTTAATGAGCAGGGAAACCACCCTAAAGGTTAAAGAAAGAGCTGTTGTGAATCCTTGCAGCGCTAGCTGGCTATGAGCTGGCAGCAAACTGCCTGCCTGCTCGAGAGGCTATTTTTGGGAGTGGCAGTTTCCTGCCAAACTTTCAGGCATGCATCTGTGAATAATAGCTTGGCACCCAAGCCCTACACAAGGCACAGTCTTGGTTAGAAGAGACAGGCCTATATGGGCTCCTGTGGGTTGAATTTTTTCCTCCACTGCCAGCCCTACTGCTAGAACTTATGCCCAAGTAGCGCTGGGCTATCACTGAGGTTGTAAGATGCAGATGGCAGATTTAGCTGCCTCGTAGGTAAATAACATTTCCTGGCTGTTGTGTGGTACCATTACCTAGGACAGAAATAGGAAGCTTTATTAACTGGCCCTCTGGTGATGAACAGTGTAGCAGACAGCATGTGCTTACTCTTCCCAGGGCCTGGATACCACCAAACGGCTCTCTACTCTGGGAGGACAGTTCAAGCAGTCCCTGGAAAAGCTAATGAAAATTCTTGCTCAGTGCCAGCCATACTTCATCCGCTGCATCAAACCCAACGACTACAAGAAACCACTGGTAATGATTTAACAACATAAGGTCTTGTTTTCCTTAAACTTTTTGATGAGAAAAAGCTGTCAGTTCCGGTGTAGGATTTTCTATCTGTACTTCAGACAAGAACTGCAGGACAAGGTATTACTGCAATGAAAAAGGGCAGTATGATATAGCAAGATTCATTTATAAAATCACCTGTAAATCCATACTAGAGTGATGGGTGGCCAAAAGAGCACTGGGAGCTGCTGTAGAAGCCGTTCTCGTAACCAAAGACCCAGAGAGTTTCCAGCCCCCAGGAAGGGGACAAATAGAAACTGAGATCCAGCAATGACTATACCATGAAATAGCTTGAGAGAGATGAAGAAAGCTGTGGGTGAGAAGGATGATACAGCTGGATTTGACACCACAGAAGAAGCTCAAGTTTGCAATTAAAATGTTTGGCTGGGTCTTGGGGGATCAGAACCCAGTTGTTTGTTGTTGGTCGAGTGACTTAATCATTTTTAAAGTTGTGCATGTGGATTAGTGAGCCTATTTTTAATCTACATTACAAGAAACTTACAGCAGTCATGCTGTGCTAAGCCCAAAGGAGGTAAGTTTCTGTTGCAGTTTCTTGCACCTGCAAAACAATATGATCATTCACCTGAAATTACATTTATAGAATTGAAGACGGTTGCTAAAGCCAGTCAGAACTTAATAGATTTTTTTCTGCCACCAAACACACGTGAAGACTCTTTAAAGTGGCATATTTATGCCCATAGCTAATTAATCTGGGACACTGAAACAAGAGTACAGTTAAGAAGAGCATAGCAGCCCGTTTTGCAGCTCTCTGAGTTCTCAGGATAAGAGATGCGTCCTGAGGAACGTTGCATGTGCAGCCTCTTTCTGCACTAACTCCTTGTCTGCTCTCCTTTACAGCTGTTTGACCGGGAGCTGTGTATCAAACAGCTGCGATACTCAGGGATGATGGAGACCATCAGGATCAGGAAAGCTGGCTACCCAGTTCGTTACACCTTCGAGGAGTTCTTTGAGAGATACAGAGTCCTCCTGCCGCGCTCTGCTCTAGAAGCGGTGTGTTAGCATGTGCTTGCTTTAAGCAAATCTAACTCTTCCTTATGAGGCGTTAGGTCTTTCCCACTGGAGAAAGTTCTTAGATTACTGCTGGCATAGCAGAGAGAGCCGTCATTGCTGGAATGGTAGCTAAATACTGAGAACCTCACTTGGCCCTCAGCCAGAAGTAGAGTGCTGTTAGGTCCAGCTACCCTGGACTTGCTCCACATAGACACTCCAGGCAGGGTGGCATTACTACTGCCCTCAAGTTGTTTGTTTTTCTGCAATTACACACTTCTGACATAGTCAGAATTGACAATTTCCTGTCATTTTAACTCTGGAATGCTTCACCAAGCACTGATATTCCTCCTTTTCTTGACCATTTGAGCTTTCATTCATTATCCTGTTGGCCCAGAGGTCTGTCAGACCTCATCTGTTTGCATTCTTTGCTCTTTGAAATGCAGAACCATAGGTTCCTTACATAGTACAGCCACTCTGTTTCCAAACAAGCCCTAACATAATAATGCTTTTGCACATCAGGTGAAGAATGATGCTCGACAATGCTGTGTCAGAATCTCTGAAGCAGTGCTGGGCAAAGATGAAAGCTGGCAGGCTGGAAAGACAAAAATGTTCCTTAAAGTAAGTAAAAAGAACAGTTTGTCTCTTCTCTGAAGAACTGGGCACTTCACCATAAAGCTTGACCTGTCAGCACAAGAGTGGTGACCTAGAAGGACTGGGTTCTCTCAGAGGTCTCTCTTGAAACTCAGACTGGATCTGTGTCCTCGAAGACAATGCATTTTGATGGACACAAGCTTGGTGTATGAAGGGGCTTTTCCCATTCTCCAGTGGTGTAGCTCAAACAGCAGAGTGTGATGCATTGGACTCTGCTCAAGTCCAGAGCATAAAAAAATAACTGCATACCAGCATATTGTCACAGAGAACTTCCTTGCCCTAAGCAAGGTAAAAAACATCCCTTATTTAGGCAAATTTTGTGCTTGTTCATTGCTACTGCCAGACACTGGGTGGTGCACACTCTTTCTACTGCAGATTGCACATTTGAATCCCACCTTGCCACACTGATTCTGCACCTCTTTCAGAACTTGCGTCCAGTTCTCAGGAGTTGTGGGGATGTTTGTTCAGCTGTATATCAATATTTTCTTTTAACAGGATTATCATGATACAATATTGGAGTTGGAACGACAGAAAATACTCACAGATAAGGTTCTTCTTATCCAGAAGGTGATGAGAGGTTTCAAGGACAGGTCAGTGATGGTAAAGAAGGGAATTTGATTAGGTTTGAAGCACTAACATTTGTACTGTTCTTTAACATCCTCACTGAAACGTCTCTGGTTATATCAGTCCTACCTTCCACTGGCCCTAGATTCTATGCTCATCATGTAACAGTGCATCGATGCCAGTTTTGCACAAAGATTCTGTCCCAGTTTATCATAATTATGCTTTTCAAAATGCAGGATTGTTGCACGTACAACTGAGAGGAAGGGTTGGAAGGAAGATTTGCACTTAATATTCATAGCAAACAGCATAGATACCTTATGAGGTATCTGGAAAACAGGAAGTTTGTGTGCAATCTGTTCTTTCCAGAGCAACAAGAACCTTCTTTTTTAGGATACTTCTTTAATATAAGTCACAGAAAAAAAATAGGAAAGAGAAAACTAAGGTAATAGAAAACTGCCTAGTCCTCCACCTTGACAAAGATGCACAACTCTTATTTGGCTTGAAATATTCTCAAAATGGACACTTAGTTACTGACAAAAAAAATAGTTGTCCTCAATAAATGCTTTATGTCATGATCTGTATTTATTAATATTAGAATATTAATATTAATATTACTTAGTAATATTAATATTACTCAGAAGCAGGAGGTACAGCCCTTGCTGAGCTTCAGACTTGCCCTAGCAAAATGTCTACTAATAACAGAGCTAGTTAGTGTAGCTTTAGTTCTTCTGACTCCAGTATTCCTACTCAGCAGCAATAGCTGAGATCAGAGTGTAGAAATCCCAGAAACAGAGAAAACCCACCAGCCTTACTCTTTATTCTTACCATATGAAGCAGCAGAGATAACCTATTGCTTCTTATCTCATCTGTTTGCAATAGGAAGCAGTTTCTGAAACAGAGGAAGTCTGCCATATCTATCCAAGCAGCTTGGAGAGGCTACTGCTGCCGGAAGGATTTCAGGATGGTAAGAAGTGTGTGTGTGTGTGTGTAACAACCAGAGAGATCAGCACAGCAGATTGGTGATACAGGAGATATAATGACAGAGGGACTAGTGCAATGGAAAGGTGTTCTGCAAAGCAAAGCAAAGTGCTCACCCACCTCTGAAGATCGAGGCTCACAAGGAAAACTCCAGAAGGGAAAGATCTCCAACTAGAGAGCCTTCCCCAGTGGCCCCCTTAATTGGGGCCTAAGAGAGGTGCAGCCAGGCTCCACCCCTTCCAGTCACACAGCTGAATTGCCTTCACCTGTGCTCCTAGGGATGACCAGGTCCTTTCCCCAGGTGTTCAATCAGTGAGTCAGGCTGGGACCCAACAATTACAATACAGTGTGTTGTATTTATATCATGCCTTGCCAGGCTGAGGGAAGTAGAGAGAATTAAAATATTCACAAATTAAGAGGAGAGAAGCAAAATGGCAGGGTACAAGGAAATGATTTGTTGGGTCCAAGGAGGACTCTGGAGCATCTCGTGGCTTCCTGAGCCTGTGATGTTTCTGCTTACTGGTGAAATAGTAACACAACTAACCTCTGGCAGTCCTGGCTCCAGCATCCTGGCACCCCAGTGCTGCCACAACTTCTGTTCCAAGGCTGGCATTTGTGCATCACTGACAAGCTGTGATCAAAGGGTCTTCCACAACTGTTAGAGCAAAACTGGGAATCTATAACAGAAAATAACAGCATATCAATCTCTCTCTTTCAGTTATTTTTTTATTTTTAATAATGGCTGAATTTGTGTAGGTTGACATTTTTGTGGGTGAAAAAAGCTGGGACGTATTGGTGGTGCTCACATATTGTGTATTTCTGTGAGAGAAATTATTAATATATAGAACCTCCCATTCATAAAGAGCAAGAGGAGAAACTGCCAGTTTCAATCAGGAATGTTTTCTATTTTGCATCAGTGACCCAGTCCCTGTCTGAAGATAGGATCTATTTCTGACTCCACCTTTCCTAAGGCTATGCCCTGTTTGTCTTTTTCCCATTCACTTGGTTTAGTTTCTGCTCTCTTTTTCCCCTTGTCATCAGCTCAGGCTACTCCCTAGAACGGGTCCTCAAGTGCACACTCTCTCACATGATTTTAAAGGCTGAACTGACAGAAATCAAAGTATTCCAAGTATTCCCTTGGATGGCAGTATTCCCTTAACCTCTCCCAATGTCTTTATCCAGCTGCAGAACTTTGTGGTCTTCTACTCATCTCACTGAACCCCAGACTCACTTGATTGAATCATGATCACTTCTTTTTTTCTCCACCTCCTACAGATTATGCTGGGCTTTGGGCGCCTGCAGGCCCTCTACCGGAGCCGGCAGCTTGCTAAGCAGTATGAAACAGCCCGGGCACACATCATCAGGTTTCAGGCTGCTTGCCGTGGCTATCTAATACGTCAAAAGGTAGCAGCTGTTTGTGTTATATACAGGCATATACAAGGGGCATGTTTGCTTGCCAAACTTCACAGAGGATGAAGAGGGGGGTATACGTACGTGTCCAGATATTTTGTCAACATGACGTTGTTTCTGTGAGGTTCTGAGGCATGATGACCACTAAGTGTTGCCATAGCATAGCACCAGATGTGGATATTTATTTTGGAACGTTTTATTTTGAGGTACAAAAGCAGGTATGATCTTATTTACACGTTCTTCCTGTGTTCATTCCCATGGATCGGAACCTCAGTGACAGAGCAGAAATGTTTTTGACAGAAGGGAGAATAAAAGGATAAAAATCATTCCTGCAAAGGAAGATTAATTTCTACAGCAAGGCCTGATAATGACACTCAGGGAATCCTGATGTAGTGTATGTTGGTATGCACTACCAGATAAAGTCCTGTGCTTACTACCTTGGCTATCTATTGACATGGAAACTCTTGGCTGTGGTTTTCTTTCTGTATTATATCTTGTACAAACAAGACAAAACCAGTTAGCAGATCTCTGCCTGTGGCTCATTCCCTAAATGGAGTAGTCCCTGCTGGGATAAAACCCTGGTGTGGACAGCTTGCTAGTGGTGTAACTTGCTCAGCAGTTTTGAAAACAGTAACAGAATGGTTCTGTTCCTACAGAACAAGGTCAAGCTGGAAGCAAGGAATATCCGCTTGGAAGAGGAGGAACGTCTCATTAGCATCCTTGGCCCAGTGAAAGCAAGGGAAGATGCTGTGAGGTTAGAAAAGGTAGGTGTGTCAGCTAAAGAACAGTGAACATAATATGCTTTTCCTGTATAATTGCTAAGTGATGCAGTTCTTGAATATAGAACATTATTATTAATAGATCAACAGTCTACAAAGACAGCTGTGGGAGCAAAGCACTTCGTAATTGTGTTTTATCCTCACACCCATTTCTTTTAGCAGAATGATGTTCCAATCATGCTTTATGAATTTCTATGTTTAAAGGAACACCTGGCTACTGTGGAAGAAAAGGAGGAGGAAGAAGGACAAAGGATGAATGATGATTTTGTCGACAGACACACAAATTATGATGTTATCAGTGACCAGGAGATGGTGGACAAAATTTTTGGGTTTTTACCTTCTATGATTGGAGGCCAAGAAGGACAGGCTCCTCTAGGCTTTGAGGTACAGTGGTCATGTTAGTGTAAATTTAACAAATCTGTTAGAATTCCGTCAGTGGTCAATTCTATTTACTGAACTGTTCAGTCTCTTGGGGAACCTGCTTTCAGAGGTCAGTTCCCAAAGTTTTTGGCCATTGAGGGACTGTCTGTCGTCACACTTATTTCCTTATCCCAGTAGACCCCCACCAAATAATGTCATTCTGTCCATTTTGGCACCAGCTACATGATCTGCTTCTTGTGCTCTCACTGATTTTCCAGCTGGCACAAGCTGGAAGTTCACGACCTAAGTTACCTCATGTTCTGAAAAGCAGCATTTGACTGATAGCTGAAGAACTGGCTGTACATCTACTATCTACTGATGTCCATTTGGACAGGTGGAGTAGGGAGAGTGAGTAGAATAGAATAGAATGGTCTGGGTTAGTACAGAATGTGAGCAATAAGACAGAACCTGCATTTTGCAACCAGCAGTGTTCTTGGTCAGCTGAAGACCAAGGCAGGAGAACAGACTGAGTCCCAATAGTCTGTTGGTGGTGGTTGAAAAATGGCTTTAGTGTTAGCTGGAAAGTACATAAAATATCAGATAAGAGAGAAAAAGATGCTTCTTACCACAGAATAACAGAATGGCTTAGGCTGGAAAGGACGTTAAAGATCATCTAGTTCCAACCCCCCTGCTGTGAGGCTGGGGGCCCCATCCAAACTGGCTGCCTAAAGCCCCATCCAGCCTGGCCTTGAGCACCTCAGGGAACGAGACGTCCACAGTTTCTCTGGCAGCCTGTGCTCACCATCCTCTGACTAAAAAATTTCCCTCACATCTCATCTAAATCTCTTTAAGTTTGAAATCATTCCCCTTGTCCTGTCACTTTCTGTCCATGGAGAAAGTCAATCTTCCTCCCATTTATAAGCTCCCCTTTAAGTACTGTAAGGCTGCAATGAGGTCTCCCCAGAGCCTTCTCCAAGCTGAACAGGCTGAGCTCTCTCATCCTATCTTCATAGGAGAGGTGCTTCAGCCATTTGATGATCTTTGTGGCCCTCCTGTGGACCTGCTTCAACAGCTCTGCATCCCTCCTGCACTGGGGCTGATCACAGTACTCCAGATGGGGCCTCATGAGGGCAGTGCAGAGGAGACAACCCCTCCCTCTCCCTGCTGCCACCCCTCTGTTGGTGCAGCCCAGGGTACGGTTGGCCTTCCAGGCTGCAGGTGCACACTGCTGGCTCAAGCCCAGGTTTTTGTCCACCAGAACCCCCAAGTCCTTTTCTTCCTCGTGTTCTGTACAGGATTTGGAAACAAAGCCCAGCAAGCTGGAAGAAGTAGACCTGGACATGATTCCTATGAGCGTGGAGCTAGAAGAGGAAGCAGATGGCTTGGAAGACTACACCTTCCCAAAGTTTGCAGCTACTTATTTCCAGGGGTCATCTACGCATACGCACATCCGGAAACCACTGCGGCACCCCTTACTCTACCACGACGACAAGGACAACGTCCTGGTATCTTGCTCCTTGTTGATCAACCTGCTCCCCTCACCTCAGGCACAGTCCTAGGAGCCAGAGACTTTAGAGCCAAGCAGATACTCCTAATCACTTGTATGAAAGTAGTTGTTCACATCAGCGTTTTGTGGTGCTTTGCAAGCAGATGCCTGCCTTTGCACGTAGATGCCTGCCTAGCACAAGATCTTTGGTCGCCTTTAGTCTGAGCACTCTGAGGTTTACTGTGACCTCTTCAGATGCCCTTGGGTCCAAAAGTGGACAGAGGAAGCCTCAGAGCTTGCCTAACTCTCTGCTCTTGTGAGGGTTTCTGTCTGTAAGCTAGGAGAGGACAGGCAAACTGGGCCTCCAGATTTTCCTGTTGAATCACAGAAGGGTGAAGAAGGGGAGGTTTTTTTGATGCTAAGCATCCTTGTAGAATGCTGCAAAAAGCTTTGCTTACTATTTCTGGGTGTCAGGGCTCCTGGAAGAGCTTGCAGCACTGCTTCTCTGTCCAGGTGGGTAAAGGCAGGGTGCTGTTCAGCAACAGTTTCTCTTTTTCATTCCAGCCACAGCACACCTATGAAGTGCCAGTAAAGAGGAGTGCTGAGAGCTGAGCAACCACAGAGCATATCTGATATTCTCACTAGAGCTGCACCCTCTTGCTGAGAGTGTTGTGAATGTTGCTCATGTGGTTGGACAAGAAAGTAAACTTCAGGTGTGAACGGCAGGAGGATACAGGGATTAACAGCCTGAACTGGGTAAAAGAAGGAAGAAATAGCGTGAGGCATTTTGTGCATTTGGCAGGGTCTGACTGTGCCTCTTGTCTCTGCAGGCTTCTCTAGTTGTGTGGGTTATCATCCTGAGGTTCATGGGGGACCTACCAGAGCCAACAATGTTTGCCAAGAACGCCACCAAGAGCGGTTCTGTGATGACACAGATATATGACACACTTGGCAGGAAAAATCAAGTCCAGTTCAAGAATGACAGCCCAGATATGGTGAGATGATCAAGCTATGCTTGTATTTTCATATACTTTCCCTGGTTGCTATGCTGTTCTACTGAGACAGAAAAGCTGAGGAACCTTTGCATGCTGCTGTACTTGAAATAGCAGAATTGCAAAAGGATGCAGGGTCAGTCCCAGGAGGACAACACAGCTCCTTCTGGCCAGAGAGGGCAAAACAAAAACATCTCCATTTGTCTATCTTTCCTTTCTCCATGAATAGTTCTTGCTGTGCATAATTTCCTATATTGGCAATATTTGTTGTAGAGAGAAAGCAAAAAGGATAACAAGATTTCCAAGAGCATCTCTTCCCTGAAGCTGAAACGGTCCTCCAAGTTGACAGGGAAGGTAAGAACTAGAAACAAATGGCCCTTCAGTCTCTTTGCCTGGAGCTTCATCCAATGTGCATTGATGCTCATTCTCTGGCAGATTCACTTCAACCCTTACTGCTGGAGAGGGTGAGCAGTTTATGACTGTGAATTGTTGATATTACAGAACAGTTTACCCAGAGCCCTGAGTAGACTGAACCACCGTGTGCTTAGGGCTGTACAGGACGTACCAGAATGTTTTCCTAGCCAGTAATAATAGTGCAGTAACACTGTATTTTATGAGTTAGAT